CATTCAACCTCCTATTTCACTTCCAATCACACACGAAGAAGAGTATCAGGCATATACAAAATATACAGGCCACTCGCATTATACACCATGTCCAGGTAAGAAGCGATTTTAAAAAAATAATTATTTTAAAGGAAAAAATATGTCAAAGTATAGAAAGTTTTTGTGTGACACATTTCATCCTTCACCACTTCATCAGACTAAATTGATGTTTACGTTAATGCGACTGTGCATAAAGGAAAGAGGATGCTGAGAGTTTTTTGGGTATATAGTCTAGCCAATTTCATTTATTTTGTGTGTTTTTTGGGTTTTTTTTTTATTATGTTTCCATCACTTTTGTTATTAAATATCCCACATTGTGATAATAGAATATTTGCCAAGAATTGTAAAACATTGTAAGAACCTGGACACAAATTTACTGTGGATGATCTTGTGATTAAAGCACTTTGTAAACATGTTTGTCTTAGTAAACTTCATTCACTTTGTTATACTTTTTTTTCCTCTAAAATTATATATATATATATATATATATATATATATATATATATCTCAAATTCCAACTTTTACAAAATATGCAATAAAAAATGCTCAAGCTTATTAAAAGTGAAATGTAAAATGCACAATATCTAGCTGCCTTAAGTTTCACCCTTTTGGTCAGGGATCTTCAAGCCATGTTATAGTTTTACAAATGCTGCCCACAATTTCAGGTTGTGCTCCTTACACACCATGTTGGAGTTTTTGCTGTAACTAATTTCTATCGTTGAAAATTATATGGAATACATTATTTGCAGGAAAATGCTTGTTTAATATCACAGAAATACAGAAACTTAAGGGTAAACATACAAATTTAAACCTCCACCTGCAACTGTAGAAAACCTGGAGATTGCCTTCTAAATGGACAATGTTTGACTAACAACACCATATATAAGGCTGAAATTGAAGGACTCCACACCATGAATTATATTAGTGCATGTTTAAAAAAAGATATGACCATTTAACATCTTTTTACATGAAGTAAATGTTGTAACTACAACAGTTTATCTGGAAAATTAAAGCGAAATAGAAAATTTACATGAAAATATGACAAAATGTAGTAAGAAAAGACTGAAAGCTATGCAAAGGGAGAAAGATTTTGTAAATTGTACCAAGAAATTTCGATGCTGATGAACCCTAGTCTATTGCATAATAAAAGATCAGAGATGTTGTCAGGCACTATATGTGCCCAAAAATATTTGCTGGCAAATATGAATCCCAAATGAAGTTTGCATCCAGATTAAAAATGATAATGTGTAGTTCATAATAAGCTGTGGGTGACATTTTATAATTGTACATTTACAACCAGGCTTGAAGATCCCTGACAAAAAGGGTGAAACTTATGTAGCTTAGGTATTGTGTATTTTTTATATATATATATATATATATATATATATATATATATAGAGAGAGAGAGAGAGATGTAGGAATGATCTAAATAGATACGATCAACCATATATGTAGTGATTATTTATTTATATATATATATATATATATATATATATATGAAGAAAATATACAGAAAAAACAAACAAAAATCTTAATATGCAATTATGCTGTATTAATGTTAATATAAAAGTCAATGTCGGACGTTTCAGTCTATTTTAGACCATCTTCAGGACATTTTCATTTAAATATGATTAACATTAGAACATATAAAAATTCAACACGAAAAGACAATGGACATAAGAGCACAACTAATCCAATGGTCTAAAATAGACCGAAACGTCCGACGTTGACTTTTATATTAACATTAATACAACATAATTGCATATTAAGATTTTTGTTTGTTTTTTCTGTATATTTTTCTTCATACTGTTGGATCTATATCCATATATTTGCATACATATATATCTATACAGTTGAGCAAATAACTATTTATTTAATCAATGGTGTAGATAAAAGCAATACTCAGTATAGTGAGCACTATTTTGTATGTATGCACACACACACACATATATATATATATATATATATATATATATATATATATATATATATATATATATATATATATATATATATATATAACCCAAACACTCTGAAATGTTTGTATTGAAGCTTCTAGCATGAATGCGAAGCAGAACATGCATGTAGTTTCCAAATTTCTGGCAGAGTGAATTGCACCATGGTGGTTTTTTTTTGCAAGACAGTGTCTGACTCAACTATACCATACGATTAACAAAATCCAAAACAACGTGCAAAATGAAAAATATAAAATGGCAACAATTTACCCATGATGTCCTTATTATATATATATATATATATATATATATACACACACACACACATACACACAGGAAGATTAATCCCTTACACGGCTGCTATCATGGTTTCAACCATTGAGGTCTCGTCATATGGTAGAAGCATGTGTGGAAATTTAAAGGAAAAAAATAACAACAAAAGCGCTAATGTAAGCTGGGGCATATTGAGGGAAGCCAAGCCTTACAGTAATCGTAGTGATGTCTGTAAGCTGTGCTAGGAATTAAAACTAGCAATAGTAACATATCCAGGCCAATAAACGCTGTTAAATTAAAGGTCTGCAGTCATGTTTAGGTGTAGACACATTGAAATATATATATCTTGGGTTTATATGACCCCAAACAAAATTACCTGTAATTTTTTTTTTTCACTCCCCATCTCACACTATTTCCCCACTCTTGCCACACCCCTTCCCTTCTGTTGCACTTCCTGTTCTGCACACATAAAATAAGCAAATAAAGTGTTATGAGTTTGACATCTGCTGCCTGACGAGACCTCAATGGTTGAAACAAAAAAAAAAAATGAACAACAACAATTTAAATATATATAGTAATCCACAGACAGACTGTTTTGCTGTATCTAAATGTCTGATTGCTTCAAGCCAGGATTGAAACCTGATTTGACATCAGACAGATATCTTACCTCTAGGCCTCACATGGCAGAAAAATATATATATATATATATATATATATATATATATATATATATATATATATATATATATATATATATATATATATACCAGTGACAACAGTGTTTCATACTTGAATACAATCTTCAAGCAAAGGAGATTGCATTCAAGCATGAAACAGACTGTAAATTTTACATTTACATCTGCTCTATTTATGATACTGAGCACTTACTCATAAATATAGCACATCTTAAATCTATATTCTTATCATATATATATATATATATATATTTTTTTTTTTTTAGTGTTATTTTAAGTGTATATATTACCAACTAAAAATAAATTCATACTGATAAAAAATAATCTTGAATAAAAAAAAAAAAAAAAAATCGAAAAACAGACCATGTTAATGACACCAGCGCCATAAAAAAAATATTTTGTAACAACACACTACACTACTAGTAACACATTCAAATCATCCAAAATCTTAACACCAAAGTCCTCTATAAAAACAAATGCAAAATAAAATTACAAACTTTTGAAGTCATCCTAATTAAGAACCAAACATAAATAAAATAACATTTAATACTGGCAGAAACCTCATAAACATATTTAACAACTAATCCTCCAAATAATAAACACCAACCCCCTCCTTATTAATAATAATCCAACCACATTGTCTAAATACCCAAAATATTATTTTTAAAACAAAAATAAGCAACCTATTTCAAATCAAAACTTACAGCCATGATGATGGTTGACGATAACTGAAAGCGCTCAGCAAAACACCATGGACTAAGGTCTTATTTCAACAATTTAGACCCAAATATTAAAAAAAACCTTGCCAAAAAGCAAGAACAAAAGATTTTTCAACAGAAAAGTTCCATTGTATTTAACAACACATGCCTTTATTTATTTATATATATATATATAATTATTTTTATAAAAAAATTTATAACATAAGTATGTTATAAAATCACTACAAAAATAGCCATTTTGTTTCAACACACTCTGTGTCTTATCAAGTGATGGTGTTGAAAAGAAAATAAATGGTTTTAAAAGTTTCAGATGAATTAACGATCCTACACTAGGGGGAGCATTGTTACAAAAGCTAGAATAACCAATCAAAAACGAAGTACAGAAAGATTCAAAAGCTTGACAACAAAATCCTGCTATTATAGCTATTTAGATCTTTAAATACGTGTAATATTAAAAAACAAAATGGCTATTTTTGTAGTGATTTTATAACATACTTATGTTATAAATTTTTTTATAAAAATAATTATATCTGCTCTACTTTGTATTGAGCACTCTTTTAAGAATAGTAATTGTTGGTTATTGGAATTCATTCCGTGTATACCAATTATATACTTTGATATATATATATATATATATATATATATATATATATAGAGAGAGAGAGAGAGCTGTGTTGATCTATAGACTAGGTTACATTTGTGGCTAGTCAGTCTTCAACATTTAGCAAGTTTAGTAGTGAATTAACTGGGAAGTGTTCCATTTAACAATAGCAGCATATTCATATCGTCAGCAGGCAGATATATTTTAATTATAGTCACGTTAATGGATATGAAGCTGCACAGTTTTATCGGATTGTTTTTTCAGACTGAAAGCAGCTGAGTCATCCAACCTTTGCTGCTGTTTATCTTCATGTTGCTGAGACAGTATCCTGGCACCACAAATTATGGATTGAGGAAGGCCACAAAGAACACATTCTACAGAATATCGGAGATGCTCCAGGTATCAGCATATATCAAGTGGCCCTCGTAGTGCCACATGGAGGGTACTTCAAGAGAAGCTCCTCTTATCCATATCATTTGTAATGTGTTCTGGGTCTTTCACCCTCTGATCACTCACCATAGGTGAATGTTTGCCAATGGTTTATTGCACAAACTGACGATCAGTTGTTTGTCTCTTCATTCTTGTTTATGGATGAGGCAACACTTGGAAGAGATGGAATAACAAAATTACACAACCAACATGACTATATTTTGAACACACTTCCAAACATGCTAGAAGATGTACTCCTGCTAATATGAAGACTATAACTATCTGCTATAGTTCTCTTTGTATTTTATTCATCAATAGTTTCCATTCTTTTATAAATCATTCAGAAGTGGAATACTTCCAGGTAATTGTTGTTCCATGTTGTCT